TTTACGTATCTAACACAAGGTTTATTTATATGCTTTTGTTGCTCAAATCATAATTCTTATCTTTTAGGTCTGTTTGAGGCAGCTGCAACTTATTGAATAATATGTTGATAAGTTATGTGCGATGGTTATTACAAATTTTTATTTTTGTTTGGAAAAGTTAGTCTACTACTAGTAAGCTGCTACCGCACTTAGATAGATGTGGTGTGAAAATGTTATTTTTAGTGTTTTGAAAATGCATAAGTTGTCAAAACGTAATTTATACAAACAGCTCTCGTGCATTTTCAAAACGCCGCCTCACCAATTAAGCTGCCCCGAACAGACCATAAGTGACTCCTTTGTATGTATAGAAAATGTGGCTTATATGTAAAAATGTTGATGTTAGATATGTAAATATGCCGCAAATAAGTGATTATGAGTTCATTGTCTCTTTAATCATGCTACCTTCAGCCTAATTAAAAAAATAATTTTTTTTTTTTGGGCCGAAATGATATTTTAGACGGCAGATTGAGGTCTGCATTTTGTATTTTATAGATTTTATATTTTGATTTATGGATTGATTGAATTAAGTAAGTGTGATTATAAAATTTATAAATTTAAATAGATCAGAATGTTTCAGTAAAACAAATGAAATTTTAATTTGGTAAGGAATCTAACTTTTATTAATTTTAATAATAATAATAATAATAATACTTATTAGTTTAAATAATATATGTATATATATAATACAATAAAAACAAAAATAAGCCTTTTATCTCACTAAGTACGGTTAGTTGCATGAATATTTTTTTCCCATTGCATTCTATTGAGTGTCATATTTTCATTTAATTCTAATGGATTAAGATCATTTTTATACAATGTGCCTAAGTCTTTATAGGTCTACCTCTATCCTAGCATAAATCAAATCTTAAACATCTACTCTCGTAACCATCTAAGACGACCCTCTAATTTTGTTGTCGCTAGACCTACATCAACTTTGTCAAGGATTTACTTATTTTGCATTTTGTCCCTAAGTGTCTATCCACTCATCCACCTAAGCATTTTCATCTCAGCGACACTTAACTTTGTTTTATGTTTTCTTATGAGGCCAACTTTTCGTGTCATAGAATATTGCAGGTCTCATCACTATCTTATCAAACTTTCCTTTTGAGTATAAATGGTACTTTTCTATCACACAATATGTTTGATGCATTCCTCCACGTCAACCAGCTTGAATTCTACTAATAACATTATTATCTATATCACCATTACTTTGAATAATATACCTTAGATATCTAAAATGTTCACACATTTTAATGATTTGATCGCCCATATTTACAACTATGTCCCTAGAGATATTACTACTAAAATTATATTCCATGCATTCAGTTTTAGGTTTACTCAAACGAAAGCGTTTAGGCTCCAATATTGATCTCCATAATTCAAGTTTTTTCTGTACTCTTTCTGTAATCTTATCCACAATAAGGCTATCATCAACGAAAAACATGCACCTCTTTCTGTAAATGTTCATTAAGAGCATCCATAACTGAAGCAAAAAGAAATGGGCTTAAAGTTGATCCCTGATGTAATTCAACTGAAATAGGAAAATACTTGGTTAATCCTCCTTCTATTCTTAACACAAATAACAAATCTAATATACATATCTTTAATGGCAAGAATATACGTCATATCCACACTTTTTTCTCTAAAACTCTCCAAAGGACTATCTTTGTACCAAGTCTTATTCTATGTCCATTAGGGCTGTCAAAACGGCTCGTTGTTCGTGAATAGCTCGTGTTCGGCTCGTTAATTTTGTTTGATAAGTTAACGAGCCGAACACGAACTAAGACTCGTTAATTTCAATCGATAAGTTAACGATAAGTTAACATATATGTATTAAGTAGTAAAAAATCTAATTGACTACAAGACTACAAAGATTTATAATCAATTAAAATATTGATTAAGAAAATAGAATAAGAATTATTAAATTAGAATCAAATGATGTTTTAATATAAATAAATTTTTTAAATCTTGCTCAAACTCTTATTGTCTTATGTCTTATGATTACATAATTAGGGTTGTTAAAATGACTCTTTGTTCGTGAACAGCTCGTGTTTGACTCGTTAAGCAAACAAGCCGAACACGAGCACAAATTTTTAGCTCGAAATATAAACGAGCCGAACACGAGCCGAGCCACGAGCCGAACACGAGCACATTTTTTTAGCTCAAAATATAAACGAGCCACGCTCGTGTTTGGCTCGTTTACACCCCTAATGTCCATGACACGTCAACTTAATTCCTCTACAATTTGAGTACTCTTTGTGCATCCCTTTTATTTTTTAAAATGGGGATCAAAATATTCTTCCTCCACTCATCAAACATCTTTTTTAGTTTTTTTAATAATATTAAAGAGTTTAATAATCCAAGAAACTCCCAAATCTCTTAAATATTTTTATACTTCAATTTAGATATCATGAGGTCTTGTTGATTGCTCTCCTCTGATTTTTTTAAAGCATCCTCAAATTTTTCTTTACTAATGCGATGATAATAATAAAATATTTTATTAAAATGTACAATTTTAGCATGTCAAATAAATTTATTGAAATATGATTTTATTAATTATATATTTAATATTTAATACAATTTAATTTTTGAATTTCATTACAATTTAAGAAAATAATGATCAAATTAATTGTAAAAAATGTAAATACACATCACACATTTTTATATATGTATATGTTAAACACTTAAATTTTAACAGAATGCAAAATAATTATATTTGTGAGGTCATACAACACAATTCTTATCTATTTATATCGAAAGCCAAATCTCAAATCTATATTCATAACACTCAATTTCTTAATATCACATCAAAAGATATCATAAGATATGTGTGAGATAAACACATATTTTCATGCATTTATTTATAACATTAAAAATGTCATAAATATTGCAATGTGTCGGAAGATTTGCGGCAATAGAGTAATAATTTAGCGTCTTTAGTGTTGGACAAAGATCCAACACACGCACGGTTAAAAGATGAGTAGCAAGATGAGACACCTTGAATTTTTACGTGAAAAACCCTAAAAGAGAGAAAAAAATCATGAAGTTTGTCCTAGTTGAGATAATCTTTTATGTGATGATGGGTACACATGCCCACTCATCTCCTCAATTAGAAAAGATAGAAATACAAAATTAATGTACAATGATAGTTCAATAACAATAGATGTAATGGACTTCAAAGGTCATAATAGATCACTCTAAAGCGGTAGTTTGTCGTGAATGTTGTAGATTGGACACAGCGCCAACTTGTCTTAAGTATCGTAGTTAAAAGACGTGATAGTAGTTGATTATTTTGGTCATAGATGGTTGTTGCAGGGTCATCGGTTGACCGCATAGGGCTAATAGAGAACAGTAGAAACTGAGAGCCATGTAGGTCGTAGTTGCTCAAATAGGTTGTAGTAGTGAGCAACAATAACATCTATATGTCACAGTTTTCTGAGTTAGGAGTGGATCACTTAGGTTGTTTTTAGTCACATGGGTTGTAGTGGTGGGTTGCAATAACATTTTTAGGTCATAGAGATTAGAGTTGGGAGCTTTTGAGATGTGATGAAGTCTGTAAGCCACATAAGCCCAAGTTGGGAGCATTTGAACTGTGATAATCTTTGCAGGCCGCATAGGCTGAATTTGGGAGCTCATGTGTAGTGATAACGTTTGTAGGCCACAGATGCCGAAGTTGGGCACTGCATTAGTTGTGATAATATTATTAGGCCACAGAGGTAGAGGTTGGGAGCTGCATGAGCTATGATCAACATATGTCGTAGTATGAGCTCCAATAACATCCATAGTCGCAAAAGCTAGAGTTGGGAGCTGTATGAGTTGTGATAACGTTCGTAATTCATAAAGGCTGGAGTTAGAAGCTACATGAGACCTAATAATGCCCGTAAAACACAGACACTGGCTTTGGGAGCTGTAGAAGTTAAGATCCACGTGAGTCGTAGGCCATGGTGGGGAGCTCTGAGAAGAGAGCTTCAAGAGTTTGGAGAAGGTCATTGTATCTAAGTATGGCGGTTGTAAACAATAATAGCGCATTGTTAAACTCTCCTTAAGATGCATTGTTGCGCCATCTACGGGATGCAGAGTTGCATTATATACGCGGTGCATCAATGCATCATATTCGAGCTGATTTATTACGCTAGTTTTGAGGCGTGTCGTTACAGTGACTTTGAGGTGTTTCATTGCATCACTTCATAGGATGCTTTATTACTCCGCAACATACCCCAAGATTCTGTAGCACATGTCGTGATTCTGCAAGGAATTTTGTTGCAACGAGTAGAGGATGACAGAGAGTGATCGATGGTAGCTAGCGAGTTGTGGTCAACTGTGGTTGGAGGTTGCAGGAGTTGGTGACATTTGCTGGACTCTCTATGTAAAATACTAGACCTCATTACATTCTCTTCCAAGCTTCAACATCATCTGGTTCAAGGTCGGGCTTAACTCTTCCCTTCTTTTCATGAAGAGGGTAGGGCTCAATTTATGGAGTATGGGAGAAGCCTCCCGACAAATAAGGAAGAAATCCAAGCCACTTAATTGGATGCCCTGAAGTGATTCTCTCCATCGAATGACATGTTTTATGGACATTTGAGTGCATTAACTATTAGAAAAATTGAGTGATCTTAGACCCGTTGGATTCGTCTCATCAAAACACTCAATTCACCTATAAGCTTATGAGATTTTGAATATGTTTAACCTTTCAATTAGACATCAAAAGCATCCAAAATGGTTTAACAGCTAAATCTAAGCTTTATTTGACTAGTATAAGACCAACTTGGTGTCATTTGAATATAAATTTGTTAACACCAAAGTTTTTGACGAATTTTAATTGAAATTTGGATGTTTTTTTATTTTAAAAAATACTCATCTAGGTTGGTGTTAAATGACAAATTTTAATCATGAGATAGCAAATATAAATATATAAATTCTTAGTGTTTGATATGCAACATTCAAGATATGTATAAGCAAACTGCCGCATAGACCCACCATTTCAAAGCGTGCACCTTCAACTGCTCCGGCGGCCATGGCACAGCTCTTCTTTGCAACTCCTCGTGTGAACTCTCTTCATTTCCTTCCTTCCTCTTCCAAATCTCTACCCCTCCTTTTCTCCGTTAAACCCTCTCATTTTTCCTCCTCGTCCCCCAACCTCTATCACCTCGTTTCCTTCCGCTTCTCTCCCCAGGCTCCACGCTTCTCCTCCTCCTCTTTCGATCAAATCAAACCTCATCTCCAATCCGAATGGGAGCCCATTCTCAAGGGATGGATCTGCAGCGCCGTCTCCGTTTGCTGCCTCTCCGTCGCCGTTCCCAAGGCTGGGAAAATACCCTCGATCTTGACGGAGGGCGGTTCCGACCGGATGGTCTCCGATGGGATCGG